AACGATTTCCTCACCTATCCAAAATGCCAACCCACGTTCCTTTAAAATATGTTTTAAGTGGTGATAAAATGTCTTCGTTTTTAATATAATATGTGCTCTCTAGTAATGATTCAAATGAATCAAAAGCGTTATCGACAGATACAAATGAAAGTGAAGCTAATTTTCGTACTTCTAATGAAAATTGTACATCGTCATTGTATTGTTTTGCAAGACTGTGGTGTTGTATTTGTCTCCAAACCACTTGACTTGAGTGAAAGAAACACCCGTGAATCTTCCTATTGGAAAATTCGTTTTTAATTACATTCATCACTGCTTTTTCGAAGTCTACTATAACCATAAAAGTAGACTTATACTGTATAACACTATAATCGATAGAGACTCATATGGTGAGCAGGTACACTGTAATAATTCGAATATTTGATAAAGACTCACGTAAAACTAAATAATAAATAACTGAAATAAAGATAAGCGATAAAGTAGGTACTACACTACTACCACTAAATTATGAAGATACTATAGCATTATTGTATATATTATATTATTAAATATACCTATTTATAAAACACGGTCGATAATCCATTAAATTTTTAAATATATATATTAATATAAGTAGCATTATTATTACTATTATTATTATATATAATATAATTATACATTCAAATATATATATATAATATATATGTGACCAAATGACCGCGACGAAATAACGGGATACCAGATTTTATACGTAGAAGAAGGAAGATGATTTATTCTTAAAATATTGTATAAACTATAATAAGTATATAAATGGAAATATTTAATAATTTAATCTCAACTGTTGCGGAAAACATATTTTTAATTACAATATTGTTATACATTAAGATCTAGCAGTAAATGATTTATGGTGTCTTTATTATTGCATGACTCGTAGCTGCGACAGCATTTTATCATTTTCCTCAATTTATAGACGACGGTCCCGAAAAACGAAAACCCGATGATTTTTTCACGTATAAGCATGGCATATTAATAATAACACAATATATTGAAATCAATCTCGAATCTCGACATAGAGCTACTCGAAATACAGACATTGACACATATTTTCCAGTTGCAATTTATCTAATTCTGCTTTAAAAAATAAAATATCGACAGTACATTTCTCATAATTCATTGCACGCATAATAGCATTTGTACGTTCGAGCACATCGATTTAAAAAAATTTAAAAAATGAGGAATTTGTGCGTATTTTGTGTTTAACAAAATTTATCAGTAATTGAGAAGGATATATTAAATGCATATCACTTTTATACATTACATTGTCATAGTGGTGCCGTTTGTTATAACAATACGGTAATACAGTTGTTTAATAAAAACTCAAATTTTGTAAAATATGTTTTAAGTCAACTATAAAAATGCGTAATATAATATATTAAAATCCAGTAGTATTGTACTTCGTTTTTTTTAAACTAAAATATCAGTAATTTTTTTTTTGGAATGATTAATGAATTAATTAATTATCTACTATCACACTGTATGGATATTCCTAATTAGTACATAATGTACATGCATATGTATATGGGTTTTATCAAAGATATCCGTTATCAGAGCATGATTTCTTGATATTGTTTAATGTTTATGTTTTAACATGTGACATATTTTATATACTTAATATAAAGTTTATAAAAAATAATACATTATTGACTGTATACATATATAAAATTCAACGTGTATAATATAATAATATGTATATTTTTACAAATAAGTTGAAAATTGTTCTAACTCAGTTTTATTTGTCATCATTAAACTAGATATATTGTAATATTATTTTTATTTCACTAAAACGTTAAGTATATATATGCATGTATCATAACACCTTAAATTATTTGTTTATCTGGTATTTTTTTTTTTTTTTTTTTTTTTAACTGTGTTAATTTAAATGAAACTATTATATTTCTATAATTTAACAAATATGCCGCAAACATAAAATATACCTATTGTTTGATATTTAATATGAATCATGTATAATATCTTTAGTACAATCTACTAATTAATGTTATGGTATTATTTTTCGGGGTCAAGAATATTAGTAGATTATTTTTGTTTTTAAAAATTACATTAATTAGTGTAATCCAATATATTTTTATAATACTTAGGTTTACTAATTTTGCATATATTATGTTATTCTACTATTAATTAATATATTATAAAAACATATAATTATACTTCCATCAAAGCATTTATAATATTACTTATAATTTTCATATGAAAAACACGCATAGTAAGTTAAATATTAATTGAAATTTAATTATTTTCTATAAACATTTGAGAATTTGAGTTATATTTTAATAGCAATTAAATCATGTTGGTAGAATAATTAAAAATTACATTTATAACTTAAGTTATATAAATATGCTAAATTTGTATATACAATAATGTTGATTTCTTACAAATTAATTTATAATTTGTTTTTTAATTAATTGACACTTTTGGGAAGTTGAAATAATTAAAGTTTCATATAATAGTACTCTTAACAGTGATTAATCAAAATATACATTTTAAATCTTTATGATCCATATCTCTCATGGTTATTTTCTAAACAACGACACTTAACATAAACATATATTAACTTTTTATTAATAAATTTATACTCTTAAACATTTAGGTTTAAACTATAATATTTTTTGCGACAAAATTCAAGTATAATAATGAAGTTTAGTGAATTTTAAATATAATATAATATTTTAAGTTTGTACCCCGCCAACAAGGTACCTGAAACAAACTATGAAATGCGAAAGACTCTAGCATGTTCAGTGTTATTACATAAAATAATATAATTGTTTGAATGATTCAAATTTATTTTTTCCTATCTAAATTTTACATTAAACTTAATATAGTTTAAACAAAATGCATAAAGTAACAATATTAGTTATGATTATGTGACAACTACAAAATTTCAAGTCACAATAAATTATACCGATTATTCTCTTAGAAAAATTATAAATTATTTAACATTTATCTATTGGTTAAATTACACAAGTTATAAAATTGGTGAAATAATGCGATGAACAAATATAAAAAAAAAAAATTAAGTATGAGAAAATAATAAAATATTCGTTATATTCTGTGATAATGTGATAACACATTAATATATTGTTCAACATATTACTTTACTTTCACGTTGAATAATTATTTCATTAACATGTTATATATTTTATAATAGTATAATGTAAATTATTATACATTTTAACAATGTCTGGCTACTGGATTAGGCATAGTATTTTTAGTGGTTGGTTTGTTGTTTACAGCACTTTCACTATTTTAGAAAAATAATAGCGAAGGACCATTCTTTACAAAAATAAATTTTATTATTATTTATTAGTTGAACATGGGGTGAATTAAAAAAAAAAAATGTAAATTTATTTTCATTATGTTTTTATTTTATTTGACTATTTATGTATTTTTGCTTTTTGCTTTGGACCTAATGCTTTATGAACATTCAACACATCATTTGCGCATTCAACAGTGATGTGTTTTTCGTGTATCGTTGATTTTATCATATGTGTTTATTTGTGTATAATGTATATATACATATTATATATGATAAGTAGTTGAAAAAATTCTTTGATTTTCATCTTTGAGGGTAATTTCTGATGGAAAATTGGATGTAGTTTTTACTTAAAAAAAAGACTGAATTCTTGAAAGTTAGTTTTTAGTTAAAAATTCATTTTTTTTTCTTTTTATATCTAACAATGAAATGAAATATTCATGATAAGTTTTTCTAAAAAAAAAGTTTACCAGAAAGTCACATTAATTTGTTATGAGTGTTAAAAGTATAAATTTGTACATCATTAGATATTCACCCGTAACATAACTATTTTTTCTTAAATGATTTTTAATATTTTGTTGGATTTCAAATAATAACTAATTATAGATATGTGAGAATTATTATCAATATATACATGGTCATTTTGTATAAATTATAAGATTTTCAAAATAAATGACTTTTTTTAAGCTATTAATAGACATGATAAATTTTAAATATTTTTATAAATTGTACATAGTTTTTGTTAAAAAAAAAAAAACTCAGTGTGTAAGAAAGCTTGAAAATCAAATACATAATCCTATATAAGTTGTTCTAATAGCTGTATATAAAATATTTAAAATATTTTACCGAAATATTAGCAGCTAAAGATATATTTTTGATAAAACTCATGAAAATAACAATAATTTGCAAAAAATATTTTATAGACTTTTAAATTTTGAATTGAAAAAAAAAATTACATAAATAATGATGTAAATTATTTTTTTACAGATTAATTCCATTATTTGTAATAAATGCATACATACAATGACAATTTCAAATACATTGTTTTCCAAAAAAATAACTTATCGTTAAACTGATAGTAAAATAAATAACTTTATAACAAATAGTAGTATAAAATAAATAGTATATGTAAATTAATTATAAGATATATCGTGATAAAAGCTTAGAATCATGTTTCGTGTACAACGGTATCTCATTGAAATAAAATTTAACACATATATTATAGTTGCTCATTCCACACTATGCATTACAAAGTGATACTCACTTGATTTATTTAAATTTTTCATTCCAAAATACATTTAAAGATATAATTGAAGATAATTTATTTCCTCTTTTTGTGCTGATAGTTATGTAATTATTATACTAAACAGTTATCAGTTATGCTTATAGTAAATGTTTATATAGGTACTATTTAAATACTGTTAACAATATTGATATATGAACAGGCGTTCAGAGAAATACAATAATATTTTAAAATAAGCAATTATGTGCTTGTAATTATTGATAGCTATAAAATAATATTACTGTACAATTTTAAGAAAATATAATTTGTAAATTAAAAATAAAGTACTCGTATTTACTAAATTTAAAAAAAAAGATCAAACTAATTTTCATGTTTTAAAAATAATTTTTAAAATATGAATATTTAATGTAGCTACTATATTATTAATATAATTAATAAGTAATTTATACATACCAATGAATTCCAGACCACTTAGTTTCCAAGTTCCTGTTTTTGTTACCAGTATACTGCTCGGACAAACATTGTGATGATAGACTTGAGGTGATAAGAAATCAAGAGCTTCGGCAATCTAAAATTTTTTAAATTAAAATTATATTTTTATATGGAGAATAATTTTTATTTTTGAAATCAGTCGTTGATTATGTAATAACTGCCACTTTCAATTTTTTTTTAAATGAAGTGATTTTCTTTTTGGTTTATAAATGGTTTATAAACCACCTATTTTGGTTGGAGATGTATAAAATCACAGAGTACTATTGAGTTATGAATTTTAAATTTTATTGCTTTTTGAAAACTCTTTAAGAAATATAGCAATAAAATAATGTAAGGCAATTTTATTAAAATATTTTTTTATATAATTATATTAGAAAAGGTGTCAGTCTCATTAATATATTCAACATAAAAAAAATAAAAATCATTTAAAATTGTTGATATGGCAACTATTCAAAGCTTACGACTAAATTATAAAAATGTATCAAACAAATTTTATGAATCAAAATCTAGTTTGAATATGTTAGTTCCAAAAATTAATTAATTACATTTTTTAAATTTAATCTAATAACGTAAAACAATACATGTAATAACCATGTGTATACACAATATGTATTATCAACCTGTTATTATTTTTTTTCTTTAATATTGTCTTTGATAAATTCTTTATGCTTATTTTTATAAGATTTATTAATTATATTCATTTTGTTTATAATTATCTAAAACTGTAAGTTTTAAAATATTATCATTTTTTTAGAAATATATTTTATCATGACTTACTCATTAAAAAACAACCTATTTGAAAAAAATAATTCAAGGAAAAGAAACTTTCGACTCTTTCAGTATTTATGCAGGTGTCACAAAAGGTAGCGATTTATTCCCTGATTTATACAACATATTTACATCTGATATATTCAATGATTCAAATACGATACTAGCAACATATGCCAACGACACTGTTATTCTGTTCATTAAAAACAATCTCATAATTTTCTCTAAAAACTTACAAAAATACACTTCTAAAATCGAAACTTGATTAAAAAAAAAAAAAAAAAAAAAATGGTAAACGAAAATAAATGAAAAAAAATCGCCCATATTACCTTTATTTTGAAAAAGGCCATTGCTCAAATATTACAATTAACAATAAATCCATACTATTATCCAACCAAATAAAATAATTAGGTTTAACATTAGATAAATGCCTTACAAGGGGTCCCCACTTAAAAATAAAAAATCAAGTAGCAAACATTAGATTCCACAAATTTCGTACCTTACTAAAATCCAAACTAAATTTAAAAAACAAAATTACTAATTTAAAAAGCAATAATAAGACCTATCTAGTCTTATCTAAGAGAGTGCTACTAATGGGCCACATCCCATCTCATATAAATTTATTTTTTTTCATTATTTATCATATTTAATTATTGTTCTCTATTGCACAGATTGTAATTTTTTCATTAACCAAGAAAAAAAAAAATTTTAAATATTCGATTGTGTTTTAATTTATGCATAAATAAATGTGAAAATTAATTTAAAATAATAATATGCTTTTCGAAGAGGGATACCAAATATAAACTATGGGATCGAAGAAATATTATTTAAACACTTAATTTATACATTATTACTTGTTCAGCTACTTGTATTATAAAATACGTCAGTCAGTAAATACTAACTGGATAATATCTACATAAATTTAGAAAAGATATTTAAATTAATGGTATTAAATTATTTATAAATATCCAAGTATAGTGTTATAAAAAAATTCTTATTAAGTCTTTATTTGCTAAAGTAGCTTTATAATACCAATGTAAAAAATTATTTTGAAATGATAATTTCTATTTATCAATAAAACTGAACTATATAAAAAAAATAGCTATACTATTATTATCAAGATAATTACATTCATATTATAATTTTAAATAAATGTTTTAATAATTGCCGTTTTATAATAAATTATTTTTTTTTTAATTTATTCTTTAAAATGCATTCTTACTTATATTTTCTTATACACAAAAAATATTTTTTGTTCTTAAATTTTTATTGTTTTTAAATGCAATTTCTAGTAAAATGAAGAAGTTTTTTTGATGGTAAATGAGTTATTTTTGTAATGAAACCCATCTACTTTTGAAAATTTAATATTATTCAATTTATGTTTGAATATTTTTTATAACACCCATGGGTTCACTAATTTAACTAGTACAGTATATATCACTAAAATACAAATTATAACAACATTTTACGTTCAATTTAAATATGTATCACTATTTGTTTAATATAATATTCTTAATACAATATACTTTTATACAATTATGTAAACACAAAAAAACAATATTATCGAATTAGACAAATATAATTTTTAGAAATAATATTCATGCTATAGAACAATCATCATTTTTAGCATATTAATAAATATGAAAAATAAACATGACTTTTAAATACCCAGATAAATATATCAATATTAAACTAAAGTATTGCATATACATATATACACGTACTAAATATTTTATTACAAAATATTTAGTTAAGAAATTAAGACATTATTTTGTGTAAAAAATAAATACATAAATTAAAAAAATTAAACTTTTCCAAGTGGTTAGTTACAAGATTTTTTTTTAACAGAGATAATACCTAAAAAAAAAAAAAAAAAATACAGTACGTGTTTAGGATTTTATTAAAACTTGAATATCTTGATAAATGATACATATTGTGTGGAATTGTATTAATCATAATTTTTATAACTTATAATATTATATTTTAAATCACGATGATAAACTAATATTTCACTCGACATAAATAAACATTTTATGAATATTTTAATTGCTGACATATCATTTTAATATTAAATTATTTAGAAATTGGTGCTTAAATGTTATATTGAAATTATTTAAAATTATTTCTTCGAGGTATTTTATAAAATCAATTTATTATAATTAAAAAAAAAAAAAAATTTATAAGGTATAAATAAATCAAAAACAATTCGAAACTATACGACAGTGATTTTTATTTCTCTCAACATTTATTTAAAATAGCAACGAGAAAACGACACGTTGTTAAAAATCCGGAAAATGCTTGGTGAATGTAATTGTTTGAGATTATCAAAGTTATGTATAGGTTGAATATTCTCTTAGGGTTCAGATTGTTGAGTTGTTCATTTAAATTAAAATATCTAGTAAATTTAGCTTTTTCAATATACATACCTAGTATAGTAGTGAATTTAATGAGCATAATCTGTATACGTGGATATGCGAGTAAACACGATGTTATTTACTATACTAATTCAAAAAACAATTACAAAACATTTATACAATATATATGTATATAACTATAGATATGGTTTCTTTATTTTGTATATGTCTAAGTTATTGAAATATTTGTTTTACTTATAAATAGGGCTCGGAAGTTGTAGGAATTGAATATTGTTCTGTATGCACTCAATTTATAGAAAACCAAGTTAAAAATCTAATATGTAAAATGGAGAGTTAAAAAATTGAAAATTGAAAATGCATATATTGTTAATTTTAGCTAAAAAAAGTGTATATTTTATTGACTGTATACGCATATTTCATATTTTTCTAAAAAAATTGATTTTTTTCTTTCTTATCGTGTATATTTTAATTAATATTATTGAACATAGAACTAAAAATTTTCAACAAAGGTATTAATCATGATTTCAAAAATACTGAAAAAATATTTTTAATTATATTTTTAGCTCAATGATATGTCAAAATGCCAACCAGTTATAATTTGTTTTCAGTTATAAACAGTTTTCATGTATATTATTAATTTATTAACAACATTTAATGAAGTTTTTTTTTTTTTTTGAATCTAGAATAATTTTTTTGCATCTTTTTTAGCTCCTACAACTTTTGAATCCTACTTATTAATAGAGGTAATATTTATAATCTTAAGTTAAAATACAATAAAATAAGCATCAATTAAAAACAAATCATATATAAACATATATATTTTTTTTTCATTATTAAACATTTAATTTAAACAATTTAACTTTACATTACTAGGAAGCTCTGTCTTTTGCTTAATTCACTAGTGAATTGAAATCAAGTAACCCACATAAAAAGCATTTAAAGAAGTGAGTGCAAGCAAATAATTAAAAATTGTCGTACAATAAATCTTTTAATTCTTATGAACATTATGGTCAATTGTGTAGTTAAAGTTTTTTTGTTGTGACTGTAAGTGTTTTTCTTATTTAATTTAAAAAAAAAAAAATGATTTCAGTATTGATTTTTTTTTTTTTTGTATACAGCTAATTATTATTTAATATATGAAGTTTCTTTTTATCCATCTTACAATTTACCAATAAATCTAATACTGGTTATTATGATTACATTATTTGATGAAATTATTTTTCAAATCTTCTATGTATTAAAGATATATGCGTTACAAATAATGGTAAATAAATGGTAGACATTTTTCATAATTTAAATTATCACCAGTTTTAAAATGATAAACAAAACATTCTAATATTAATGATAAACACAATAGTTTTATGATATTTTAAAATAATTTAATTATTATTTTGTAAAACTACTTATTAATACGATAAATTATTCAATAATTTTAATTTCATTATAACCACTTAATGTAATATTGCTGTATAAAAAATTAAAATATGATAACATATCATGATTTTCAACTTTAAAATAATTGCTACTCCCGTTATGTACTTCTAATTTATATTGAAGTCTTGTTTACTATAATAGCAAAATGTGCCATAAAAATAAATTTCCACACAGATTTCTGTAGAGATTTAATAGTGCTTAAATAAGTAGTAAGTTCTTGACACAAATATTAAAATAATTATTAACTTTAATACCAATGGAACCAGCGAACAATAGCCAAATGGTTGTATATCCTAAGCCTTGAAGAACATACGACAGTTTCGTTGTGGATCATCTCTTGTCAGATCCATTTCCATCACTGTCTAAGTTCTAAGAAGACTTAAGTCCACCATAAGTCCTGTGCTTACACTTTTCAATTTAATATTTAATATATTCCAATCTAAATTAAACCTCAATTCTAATTGAATCATACTAATTCACTTTCATATTGATTTTATTTGTTCGTTAACTTAATCTGTCATAGTTAATATTTTTTACTTTTTACTGTGCAGTAAGTTTTGAGTTATTTTACAACACTCGACAAGGTGTTATATGTTTATATTACACTATCGCTATATTTTAAGTGTATAAGACCTCCAATTTAGAATTTTCTTGTTATTTACCAAATATTATCTCAATACAATTATTCCATAGTTAAATATAATCATATTTAAAAATCACAACGTGGTAAAGTATTTGAATAATTTCAACTACCAATGTAAAAAATAGTATAATATATAATTATTTATACACATGTATTATACAACAATTTAATAGTGTTATATTATACTTTTAGTTTAATTATTTATTAGGTTAATGACAACAGTAGAGTATAAAAAAACAACATAAAAAGACCGCTAGTACTGTTAAAATAGCAGCCATATTGTGTATTATTTAAACACAGTTTTTACAAATTTAATAAAAGTGTTTAATTATCGTACTTATGACATAGGTCATATATTTTTAAATAATTACAACAGAGTAGATACCTATATTTTTCAATATAAATTACATGAATAATTATTTAATCAATATCTAAAATATCAAATAATATTTAACGTTTAATTCAGTTATATGTGATTTCAAATGAAAATTAGAAATCATTTTGATATTAAAACAAACAATTTATACACTTAGTATATATAAATTTATTTATTATTTATATATTAAAATAATTTTCAAAAGATTTTATCTAAACGAAACTCAAGTGAGTGTAATTCTGATCGAGAAAAGCAAAATAAGACTTACTATCCAACGTAAAAATTATAATGTCATTTTTATATTCTAGAATACAAAGAACCTTTTTTTTTTAGACATACCTTAAACATATATTATAACTTATAAGATAAATACGTGCTATAGATACAATTTTATTATAAGCGCTGACAATAATATGAGAATAACTTATTATGTTTAGTAAAACATAATTCATATACTAAAAAGTAGATTGATGTAATACTGTAATAGTAATTATTAACAAATTCTATTCTTTAAATGTTATTTTGTAAGTTACTTTATTTCTATGGTAAATTAAATCTTAAGTATTATAATTTTTTAATGTTTTTTTTTCTTTTTTTTTTTTTTTTAAACTTTTAATTATAATTTTTACGCTATTATTTAACTTATGTTGTTTTTACATACATGTTTAGTAATTCATTATTTTGTTGACAGTATAAAATCAATTACAAATATTAATTAAAAATTTTACAAGGAATATAAGTTATTATTAAACAATTGTAATATTATTTCGGAAATGTGAAGAAAACAACTAATTTAAGAATAACATTAGGCATGTAAAACTATTACTTGGAATTAATACAACTAGGATAAATTAGAAGTTGTATGTTAAATAAATATGAAAATCATAATTTGCAAATTAACTATGATAAGTATTTAACCGTGTTATTGTTAAATGTATAGATCAAACGGTATGAGAAACATAAAAATACAATTTGGATAGTAATAAAAAAAAAAAAAAAAAATATTGGTCAATAAAATTATAGATGCAATTTATGAATAATTTAAAGAAATATTTATAGATCTTGGAAGTTTTTTGTATAGGAAAAACCAAAATTATAGCCTTGGTTTGGTAAAATATGCAAAAAAGCAGCTTAAAGAAAAACACTGGCTTAGTAGAAGTTGTCTATAAGATATAAATAATAAAAAAAATTTAAAAAGACATAAGTAGATGCCGTCGGAGAAAAGCAAATGATAAATATCTTAATCATAGAAAGAGGAAATATATATATTCATTAATAATTTATGACATAGACATAGAACTATGAAAGTTATATGACAAGATAACACTGAACATGACGTATAAAACTCAAAAGAAGATTACACAAATAAATAGAAGTTTTTGAAGACCGATAAATGATCGTTGATAACTATACAGTCAACGAATCGACTAAATGCAACGGGAGATTATTTCGACGTTCTAATCAATATTGGTAAAAAAAAAATGTCAGAAAATAACACATCAGTTCTGCGTACGCGTTATTTATCGAATAACGACCGCAGTCATATTATATTATAATTGTAAAAAACGTATGCCCATAAGCAATAACGTCACGTCATAAACCATGACCGCAAATATCGATTGTAATTAAAACGCACCCGTCAGGCACGCAAAATCTGACTCACCTGTCTGATGCCGTACTTGATTTCAAAGTCCAAAAAGTTGTACTCCCTCGCGTGCGCGGGCCGTGGCATGGCCGTAGTGGTGATGATGGACGCGCCGGTGGACGGTGGCCCGTTCACTGTCCGGCCACCGACGGACGCCTGGTACGCGAGTATGTTGGCCAGACTGGCGATCACGGGCTCGGCGGCGAACGCGAGCGTGTCGTTGCAGTCCTCCACGGAATGAACCACCTTGAGTATGAGCTTTGGCTGTCTGAGCATCTCTAAGTAGTGCACGCTTTTCTTCAGTATCTCCGTCACCGTCTCTTTACGCCTGGGCTTGTGCAGCTTGTCAGCCAGTTTTTTTTCAAAAACGAATATCGATACCTCCTGTAACCAAAATTATGCGACGATCGTATAATTTATTATAAACACGACACGAGCGAAAAACTCCACCTTCCGCCTGAAAATCCATTAGAAGAAATTCGTTTAAAAGCTTAAAAAATCATTACGATAGCTTACTAATATAACTTGTTATGTTTTATTTCATGTTTAATTATTCAAATAACCACAATACGAGTATCTGATGAATAATGCATCATGTATTTAAGTGCTTTAAACTTTTCTGTTGATATATTATGATACAACCTAAGTAGATAAATGAGTTTGAGCTACTTTGCCTCGCGTTCTGTAATATTTTTATTTTCTAAATCTAAAACATCGTTCTGCAGCGAATCTTTTACAAAGGAAAGTATACTCAAGTATATTAACGGAGTATTAGTATACCATATAGATATATACATGGACCAATTGAAATCTTCCTAAAATTGGATTTCTATCCTTCACTATTAAAAATTCCTGGTATGTATAATATTTCCAAGGAATGTGACTAAAATATTTGATTAAAAATCAACTATTTTTTAAAAATTATAAATAACTATCTTTAGAAATATTTATTTGACGAAATATGTATGGAAATAAAAAATAGAAGCACTCAAATTGTTTTTGTAATACTTTTAAATTTTAATAGGACATAAAAAAAAAAATACAACATTCAATACCTGGTTGTGTTATTACCACAATATATTGTTTTGAAACTTATAATTATAAACATTTGAAGTAAAATTTCCGCAATAATTCTAATTTTTATTTTATTTTGTTGATTAAAAATGTTGTAAAAAAAAATCCATGAAATGATTAAAAAATAAACCGTTACGCGATTTGGGTAATATGTGTAATTATAATACAGAATCAAAATAAATTTAATAAGCTTTATTATGTAGGTACTTACATATATGTATAAAATGTACGTGGTTGGTTAAACATAAATTATAATGTTTTACTATATTTTCTGTAATGATACACATATGGGAAAATTAAAATTAATACCAGCAAAACAATTTTATGTTTTTATTTCTAAAATCTCGATCAGTCTTATTGTTTGAATAAATCTTAATTATCAAAATTGTACGAGTGTATAAAAAATTAAGGTCGATAGCTTATATTTGCTCTTTAATAATTTATGATTGTTGGAAATATAGGTAGTTAATTTAAGCTAAACAGACACAGCCGTGATATTATAAACATGGTAATTTATTCTGTTATGACTTATCGTATATATTATGTTTTTACTAAAATAGTAAAATAGGGTCTTAGCGAAAACTTTTGTTACATAATATTTAGTAAAATATGTTAATTATACCCACATAAGATACAACTAACTTTTAGCTTATGTTATTAGATTTAAAATTAATAAAATACAATAAATATACAAATTTTGTTTAAAAGATACTCGTAAATTATTTTTCTTAAAAAATAAAAAATAAATATACCCGATTGTTTATTATAATTTATAACTTTTTCATTAATTTTTATCTATAATGTATATTATTAAATATAATATAGCACATTGTTTCTTTATTTCATGTATTGGAAAAGTATATAAGTAAATAAATAGTGTATACCTATTTTATAATAAAAATAAAAAGCGCTATCAATGCTTAATAATAGCAAGTTAGCATAAACATACATTTATAACATACATTAACCATTTTAATTTTTAAATAATTTTATACATACTATTAAATTAATTTTAAGTTATTGAAAACTTAAACTTTAATTATCGTTTGAAATAGTTTTATATCAATAATGAAGTTTAATTCAATTTGAAAGTAACCTGAAGAAATGTTAGTAAGATACTTGTTTTATTATAAAATATTTTGGTATTGTACTATATTTAATATAATTATCTTATTATTTTATAATCAATATTATTAAGTTCCTGATAAATGTTTGATTTCTTTTAAATCTGAATAACCTATATTATCTTTGAATTTTCTAAATGGTTTTAATTTTTTATATTTTATCATTAAACCACAGTGTGTATAAAACGAATATTCGAAAACCATGAAAAACAAAAAACAACAAATATGACTAAGAATAAGACCCTTTGCAAACTAACTTATAAATTAATATTTATGTATTCTTTAGCATAAAGTTTTACTGTGAAATTACAAACAAACAAAAAGATAAATTTATTTTTATGTTAGTTTTCACACACCTTTAATTTATAATAAATGTTTCATATTATTTAGGTATTTGCTTAGTCATTCATTATATTAAGTTTTCATCTCATATTTTAATGTATTGTATAGATTTTAATTTAAATTAAAATATAAAATAAAATAAATGCTTTGAAATTTTCTCTATATCATGATTAACTAATATGTTAAAGGAACAGTTATATCTATAGTATTTTTCTAAAATTTTTAATTTTAAATCATTGAAAAAACACTACTAATAATAAATTATAAAAATAACATAACGTAGTATATTTAATAAGTACATCATAAAATAACGTTACACACATTATTGGGTGATAAACTTTACAAATAAGAATTAAAATACAATTCTCTTAAACTGTTCATAAAACATATTATTATCATGAATCAATATAAAACAAAGTTATATAACTCTGACCGCTTAAAAAATTAATGATTCTCTTTATGCTTCAGTTTTACAACAAATATAATTATAAAGTAAGTTGGTACTAGCTTTGTTGGTCTTAAAAATAATAAAAATCTATGATATCTAATAAAAATTAGGTTTATACTATTCTGGTTATTAATGAGTTAATAATAGTTATAATTTTAACTAATTTTAACTTATTAATTTAATTTTGAATTAAATAATTTTCCTTTTTAATTTAACTTAAACCAACTTTTATTTTCCTAAATAATTCTAATTTAGCTAATATTTAATTTTTATATTATCTAAAATAATATTTTTGTTTGTAACCGGTTATAATTTTTAATTCAAAAAAAAAAAAAAAAAATAGAACGTCTAATATATTTTTAGAAAAAAAATTTTACTAAATTATTGATAACGATAGATTTTGTGTTTTTATTTATAGATAATATATAATAATTAAATTATCATATTAATTACTAATGTTATACATGGGTAACATAGCTGCTCGTTTAAAGACATATTAAACATAAACTTACAGATTTATATTCATTAAAGTATTATAGTTATAATAGATTGTGCTTTTTTCAAAATTATTCATAAAATTATGGTATATTGTATTAGTACTTGTTCAACGGGTTTTTAATTTTTAATTTATTAAATTTCCAATTATTTTAAATAGTATCTAGGTACATGTATTTACTATGATTAGTTGGATTAAACGTTTAAACTTTTATTTTGGTAATTTCTAAATATTATTACATTTTGAAACTAAGCTTTATTTATATATTAGATATTTGTTTTATAAATCAAAAATTGTAAGTTTTAAACGATACTAAGATTAATACAATCTAGTAAGTATATTAACATTCTAATTTTAAATTGAAAACATTCTAAATTATGAATAAAGTTCTATAAATTCTAAAGATTTTAAAATAAATAATACACATAGATATACATTCTTAAATTATAATATTCAAATAATAATCACTTATTTTAAATTATATCTAATATCTATATATTAATAAGCTTGACTTATTCATTTTAAATTTAATTGAAAAAACAAAGTTAATCGAAAAAAATACCAATAACTGTTAATCATGGTATTTTTTATGTATGCGGATGATTTACGAATTCACAGGTTCAAAATACGTTTGGATTGTACTAGTACATGATTTATACTTTAACAACTTACTCTGAATAATATAGTAAAGTAAGGAATAGCAAGTGTTCCGAATAAACAGTATGTATGGTCTTCAATAGAATTTCTTTGAGAAGATAATATTTGGTATTTTTTAAAAAAGGGCTTCAATTACAATACGACCGTTTTTATATTCCCGTTTACATTTATCTTCCATGTAAAACTTTAAAATTATTTTGATGCGTATTTAGTTGAAAATGTTGCTTCAATATTTACTTACAACAATCTTACTTTTACTGACTGACTGTAAAAGTGCAGAATTGAAATGTTTGCCAACGTTGAGTAGATGGCAATGAGAAATGATGTATTCGATTGAATAAATGGAACAGATATGAAGTTTATGGTTAAAAAATAAAAAACAATTGATATTTTAATAGTATATAATAATGAGTGGTAATGTAACGTAAGTTACAAATTCACCCAAATATAATAACCGTTTAAGTAAAACTACACATAACAGTTAACTACTCGTCAAGGCCGTAGCTATGGTAGTTTGGTAAATGTGAGCATTACTACCCCCTTCCTAAACTCAATTATTGCCATACTGACCTAATAGTACAAGTTTTTCTGTACATCAATATATTAATTGGTGATACTTAATTTAACTGCAACGTTAAAAAATTGAATAACATTATGACAGATCAATATATTTATACTAAATAATTTCTAAAGTGTACATGTCTTGTACCCGTATACTTAGAAATAAAGTATGTTATAAATTATAACCTAAAAAACAGTGTGTAATTATTTAAATCGTATCAATATTCTGATAATATAACTATTATTATAGTGAGTTAACTATAATTTAAGTTAACAATATTATAATATAGTTTCCTGTACGATTTTAAATTACTTCAAAAATGTACGGTAAATACTAAGCATTCGAAATAATTATAATGCAAGTATTTTTAAAACTCTAAATTATAAGCACGAATAATCTAAATGAAAAATTACTTTTCAGAAATCGCTCGTAGCTATGACAACCAACAAAAGTTACTCTACTTTTAATATACTTTAATATTAAAAATAATGTAACGATTATATTTAGATTTTCATCACTTTTATATTATGTTTATTTTTTATTTATTATTATTATTATTATTTTTATTTTTTTGTATTCAAATTGGACTATACTATGAAAAAAACCTCAACCAACAACTAACATGACTGTTATTTAGTAAAAATATTAACACATAAATTACAATAAAATAATGTACACTAT